TGAGCACGGAATACCAGAGGAATGGAACTAATTGCCGTCAACGAATAAAAAAGCAACTAATATTTTCTAAAATTCTTGGAAAAATTAATATCGGATTGAGAAAATATAAGATCGAATCTTTTTAGACCAGAGCAATCATTGCAATGTACAGATGACCGAATTGCGTCAAAATGACAGACCTTCGGAAATGATTATGTTCAAGCACCGTAATAGTGCAAATAGGCATTGTAAAGTATAAAAATTTCACAGTAATAAGACAGACCTTGTATAGAGGGAACAGGGAGAAAGCATCACGAGAATTCATTAAGTACAAACCCGCAATATAAAATAATCAAAGCGAATCTGCAAGCAGGTATACTTGGTAGGTATGGTGTCAAAGGGAGCGCAGGGTCAGGGCATCGAGTCTTCGAGGGATTTAAAACTCTGAATGGACCGGTTTCACAAAACCACACGGCCAGAACGAGCCATCACCAGGCAATCAACCTTTGGCACTAGAGAATAATATAAAGGTAAAAGGAAAATTGCATCCAAGGAATTTGAATATGACAGCCGCTCACTGCACAAGCTTATGGCAGGCTTGGTACATTGAGGGAAAGCCCAGGAAGAGGGAATGTGTAGTTGGCATTTTGAATAGATACACTTTGTAAACTCTACAGTAAAGATAAGAGGCCTAGATGGGAATTCAAATACAAGATAACTATGCTGGAAGGGCTTCTATTAAGTGTATTCCATCGGCGTGACCAAAAGCGACTACTGCCTCTTTGGGACTCCAAGTGACTTGAGTCCATTTTCGACCCACGTCGGGGTTGAAAAATACAGTAGAGCTAGAGTCATCAAACATTGAAACACCGCCTTCTGATTCTGAAAGGGAACCTTCATTGTCCTTGTTGACTCCAGAACCGGTACGGCTATCGTCCTCACAAAGCAACCGGGGCCACGGAGAATCTAAATCAGGGGAATCTTCAGCTGAGGGATCAAAGGCGAAATGGCTCAGGAAACCAGAAGTCATGGCGGCACTTCCAAGAGGGCCTTCATTTTGCATCTTAAGATGATAAGTACCAGGTGGACCCGCGCGGCGATCAATCACCTTAACCGCGTTACGATAGGATCCAGTAGCTATATG